GCTATAAGCATTATAACTAGAAAATTAATAGAAGAATTGGGGTTAAAAATTAATAGACCCTCAAAAACTATTGTAATAACAGAAAATATAAACTATACCAAAGCTCTTGGAGTTATAAATGAAGTAAAAGTAATATTATATGATTTAATTATCCCTATTGACCTTCAAGTAATAGATCCTTAAAAAAAGACCTTATTATTAGGAACTGATTGGTTCAACAAATCCTGTACCAAGTTGTACTTCAATAATAATACTCTACATATTAAATACTTGAAAAAACAAGCAACTGTAAACACAACTTATATAAGTAGTAATTACTACAATCAAGAACTAAAAAAGTGTACTTATGAGAAGGATTGGATTGATAAGTTAGATTAAGAAGAAGAAAAACTCCAACAAGCCTTCTATAATAATATATTTTCTGATGAAAATAAGTTATATCACTAGAAGATAACCTGGCAGTTTATTTAACTGAAGCAACAAAAAAACAAATAAAAGTGAATATCAAACTATTTGAGATAAACTTTCTATTAAGTGCTTCTAAATATAGCAAGCTAAAGATCTACTAGTGAAAAATACAAAAGTTTTCACAAGAAAAATTAGTAAAAATAGGCAAACAGTTGGCTTGAGACAAACCAATCTAGTATGCTATGAAATAAGTACAGGCAGTGCTAAACTAATTAAACAACACCCTTACACTATGGCTCATAATGAACAAGAATATCTTAGAGATAAAATTCTAGCTATAGAAAAACAAAGTATTATTTTCCCAGTCAAAAGCCTGTAGACTTCACCAGTAGTCCTTGTGCTAAAGAAAAATGGAAAGAAGAAAATTTGTATCAATTACTATAAGTTAAATATGGTTACAGAAAAAGACATATATCTCTTACCAAAGATAAATAAAGTCTTGTTAGAATTCGAGAGAGCCAAATAGTTTACTAGTCTTGATTTGGCTAGTAGATACTAGCAAGTAGCTGCTAAAGAAGAAGACAAAAAGAAAACAGCATTTGGCACTTACATGTTCAATATAATGCTATTTGGTCTCTGTAACCCACTCTCCACTTTTCAACATTTAATAAACCACATTTTTGATCTATTTATTAATAAGTTTGTAGTTGTATACTTAGACAACATTACTATTTATTTTAAAACATTTCAAGAATATGTAAAAAATTTTTGGCAAGTTTTCAAGAAAATAGCAAAGACTAACCTAAAGATCAATCTGAAAAATATTTATTCTTTCTAAATAAAATAAAATTTTTGGGCCATGTAGTTAGTGACCAAGGAATTTATCCAAATAAAAAAAACTAGATAAAATAAAGACTTCCTTATACCAGTAAATCTTAAGCAAATAAAATTATTTTTAGATCTTGTATTATATTACCAAAAGTTTATTAAGAGTTTTTCAATGATAGCTAAACTCTTGAATAAATTATTAAAAAAGGATGAGCATTATTACTAGACAAAAATACAAAATAAAGTTTTCAAAATTCTAAAGAAATTACAGGTAAAAAAATTAATTATTAACTAAATAATAACCAGTAATTTCTGATACATATTATAACTTGTTTCCTCTTATTTACTATATATTCACTAGATAATATACGCATTTAAACATATTAACTAAAAATATATAAATAACACAAATTATTTAGTAAATATATAGTATATGGTTAATTTGCATTAAAACAAGCTTATGATGATCAAAGTTACTTGATTATGACATTAACTATTTCCCATCATTAGACAAATTAATAAAGGACAATCAAATTATGTAAATTCTCGAAATAATGCCCAGGGTAAAATTACGAAATTTTGCCTAAATTAAGCTTAATTCGGGCCAAACACAAAATAACGCCCATTGTGAGGGCAAAACCAATCCGGAATCTCAAAATATGGGCAATACGGACATCAACTAATACCAAACTAATCCAAATCAACACACTAACGATCAAACTCTATCTAAACCCTAATAGTGGAAGGCACGAAAGAGGCGTGGAAATACTTGGTCCTGGTTACTAGGGTCAAATAGAGCTCTAGTCACTAGGCTTTAATTTGGGGTCACGGGATTATACAATTCACTTATCGGGGGGAGGGGTAATTAGAGCGAAGTGTTTAGTTAAGACAATAGACTCTCTATGAGTCGAACTCTACTGAATTATCTTTTATTGAGACGAAACTACAGTTCTTATATACTTTAGACCAATGCTGCGTACATGATGGCTGTGTTCGCTATGTAAACTACTTTACTATGTTTCTATATAAGAGTTTGTACTAATTGTACGAATTTGAACAATGTGGTTGATATGGTACAGATTTGAACCAGCTTAGCTTAGACGAATGGTACAAATTTGAATCCGCTTAGCTTAGATACAAATCTGAACCAGGTACAAATTTGAATCGAATAAATGCACCATATTCATCAGTAAATATGTATCTAATTTACTATTTTTATAAAATTTGTCTCAAGCCACGATTTACCCTTTTACACCATGCCCGCTATTTTGAGAATTTACGGTACTAGATTAATTCTCTTGAAAAATTCATTTATAACGTCTTTAAAATAGATCAACAAAGAGCACTTCGTTTGTTCTTAGATTCTGTTACAAAGGGTTCAACTTTAGGTCAATATTATGTTGAAATTGTTATTATTATGGTTATGGTATATCTGCAAATTTATCTGAAGCATTTAATTGGCATTTAAAATCCGCTGAAGGTGGTAATTTAATTGGTAATCTAAAGCTGATTATTGCTATGAATTTGGTTATGGAATTGAAATAATGCTTTTGAATGGAATTTAAGGCTGCTGAAGGTGGTGATAAAAATAATCAATATGAAGTAGGACATCATAAAGTTGTACCAAATGCAAGCTTGTATTTAGTAAATACTAGTACTTAATAAATGCCAAAATTTAATATTTTAAAAATACCTAAAATTTTAACTACTAATTAAGTGTTAATTTTATATTAATTAAATACTTAATTTTTAAGTATTTTATAAATACTTATAATAGATGATTGTAATTGCAATCCAACATACCTTAGGCCAAATAAATATTTGCCAAGTATTTTTTAACTACTTAACAAGTATTTAGCAAATACTATAACAAACTTTGTGATGGAATCTGTTATAAATATGGTAAAGATGTTTTGCAAGATAAACAAAAAGGTTAAAATGGTTGCAAAAAATGGGTCGCGATTAATACAATATTTTATTAACAATTTTTTAAAAAGTCTAAATATAAAATTACGATATTAGAAACCGAATCCAAAATTTAATACATCTAATTAGAGAAAATGTAAAATTCTTAGTTACTTATAAAATAAACAAATATAGTACTAATGTGAATTCAAAAAGAAAGCAAAATTCTATCATAAATTGATATTTTTTTGGAATAAAATTTGTATGCCGATACAAATTATTGGTTACAGTATTTTCGGCATTTGTTCCTCATTTATAAATAGTGTTAAGATGGAATCAACGACGATATAATTCAATGATAACAAGAGGAATAATAATGGAATTGCTAGCAGAGTAATAAAAAACAAATTATAAGCGTAATTACTTCAAATTTATAGCGATCTCAGTAAATCTTTATCAAAACAATTTATACATTATTGAAATCTATTCGTAAAAGGCTAATAATAAAACAATATATGAATTCATTACTATAAAAATTACTATAAATATTATTTGTAATTAAAATGCGCTGGCTTGCGTAAAAGCATAAAATTATTCCAATTTACCTAATTATACAGTATAACCATCATTTATACGTATTCAAATAAATTTAATCATCAATATCTATTTGCATATATTCTGTTTTCATATTTTCATCGTCATTATCCATCATGCCATCAATATTACATGAAATTATGCACTCACAACTAATAAATTTACTACTATACAGTAAATTGAATTATTTCAATATTAAAATTAAATTGATTGTTTTCGATCACTATTTCATTATCAGAATCTGTAAATTCAGATAAAATCTTAACGTCAGTTTTCCAGTTTGAAATAGTTTCATAAATTTCTGAAGCTGATGGCCGTTTTTTTTTTGGGTTTTCATCCCAACACTTTTCTAGAAGTTCTTTATAATGCATCGTTGTACCTTTAGGAATAGTTGGCCTTAGTCCTTTAAAAATTTCTACAGCTTAGATCACTATCTCTATATTCAGAAAATACAACTTTTCCTGAAGAAATTTCCCATATAATCATTCCAAAAGAATAAATATCTGATGCTTTAGTAAACGCACTTCCGCACAAAATCTCTGGTGCTATGTATGGCAAAGTTCCATAAACTCCTCTAGATTCTGAGTTTAATGTTTTATTGACTGCAGTTGCAAATCCTAAATCGCCAATATATGCATTATGTAAATTATTCTGGAGTATATTTCCACTATGCAAATCACAATGAATAATATCATGTGAATGAATTAATTTAAGATCAAATGCAATATAGGATAATAGCTCTAACTTTTTTTCCCATTTCATTTGTGCAACAATGTGAAGATTTTGACGCAAAGATCCCATTTCTGCATATTGCATGACTAAGATATAATCTCCAGTATTTTCATCTTTTGATACTTCATGACATTGCAAAAATGTAGGATTTTTAGATCCAATATCTGAATATGCAATCAACTTTAAATTTTAGAGATTAAATTAATAATTAAATAGCAATAAATTTCTAAATTTAATAATGATGGTGCCAAATATTTACCTCTTTTATAAGTTCTTTGCAACTATTTTTTGATTCATGAAATATTTTAAGTGCAACAATTTCAGTTGTAGTATCACCACTTGTGCTTGTATGTTCCCAATTGGCTGAATATACAGTTGCAAATCCGCCATTTCCAATTTTCTTTATAAAATTTAATTCATTAAATGGAATCCATGATATTAATAAGTCATTTTGAACCAGTAATTTTTTTAAGAAATCAATATTTCTATGGTTGGTCGCTTTTTTATATTGATTGCTTTTTGCTTTTTGTAGCCATTCGATAGCTTTTTCATGATTAGATAATGTTCCAATACCATTTCGATAACATAATCCAACTTCATTTTGTCCATAAGGATCTCCACTTTCGGCAGATTTTAAATATAACTCAAATGCCTTCTTCTCATCTTTTTTAGTGCCTATACCATCTTGATAACACTCTGCGAGATTATATAGTCCATATAAATTGCCTCTTTCTGCTGATTTCAAATACCACTCAAATGCTTTTTTTTCATCCACGTCTGTGCCTGTACCATTTTTGTAGCACCATCCGAGACTATTTTGTCCATTAGATTCGCCGCCTTCAGCAGATTTCAAATACCATTCAAACACCTTTTTCTCATCCTTATTAATACCCTCATAGAAATTTCCAATATTATATTGTGCTGTAGAATTACCATCTTCAGCAGATTTCAAATACCATTCAAATGATTTTTTTTTTTCATCCTTGGCTGTACCTATGACATTATCATAGCAATGCCCAATATAACATTGTCCATCTGGATTATCACTTTTGGCAGATTTTAAAAACCATTCAAATGCCTTTTTTTCATCCTTGGCTGTGCCTATGCCATTTTCATAGCAGAATCCAAGATTACTTTGCCCACCGGAATTACCACCATCAGCAGATTTCAAATACCACTCAAATGCACTTTTTTCATTCTTATCTGTGCCTATGCCATTTTCATAGCAGAATCCAATATCACATTGTCCATCAGAATTGCCGCCTTCAGCAGATTTTAAATACCATGCAATTGCTTGTTTTTCATCTTTTACAATACCTATGCCATCTTTATAACAGACACCAAGATTATATTGTCCATCTAAATCACCACTTTCAGCCGATTTCAAATACCATTCAAATGCTTTCTTTTCGTCCTTAGTCGTATCTATACCATTTTGGTAGCACAATCCAAGGTTATATTGTCCACTTGAATTTCCATTCTTTGCAGATTTTAAATACCATCCAAATGCCATTTTTTCATCCTTGGCTATGCATGTACCATTTTCATAATAGAAACCAACATAATTTTGTCCAAGAGGATTTCCACATTCAGCAGATTTTAGATACCATTCAAATACTTTTTGTTCATCCTTATCCGTACCTATACCATTTCTATGGCAGTATCCGAGATCATACTGTCCACCAGAATTGCCGCCTTCAGCAGATTTTGAATACCATTCGAATGCCTTTTTTTCATCCTTGACTGTACCTATACCACCCTCATAGCAGACTCCAGCATTATATTGACCATTTGAATTTCCATTTTTAGCAGATTTTAAATACCATTTAAATGCCTTTTTTTCATCCTTGATAGTTCCTACGCCATCCAGATAACATACTGCAAGATTACATTGCCACGAGGGTTACCACCTTTAGCAGATTTCAAAAACCATTCATATGCCATTTTTTCATTCTTGTCTATTCCTATACCTTTTTAAATAGCATATTCCAAGATTACATTGTATATTCGAATCGTTACTTTCAACAGATTTCGAATACCACCTAAATGCTATTTTTCCAATTTCCTTAACCATATAATTTCTAGATTAAAATAATAGCCTTTTATGCCTTATGTACATATATATATTTATTTATTTTTCTTATTGATAATAAATAAACATTTTCTAATGATTGATTATTACTTGGCGACATTATTACGGCCACAACGTGTGATACATATATCAAGGGTACCAATCAAATACATTAATTAAATTATCCGCAGGTACTATGTAAACACTGACGGAAAAAATTCTACATTATTTCCGCAAATTTTTATTAAAATCATGGGACAAATTCTTATCAATTTTAATATAAAATCTGTGGAATTAATATAAAATTCTTTCCGTAAATGTATACGTC